GGCTGCCGTTATCCGAGACCCGCATTGACGGCAGGCCAAACCGTTTTGCCCAGTTGAGGGTAGCAACCACCGTCACGATGCTAGTGGGGGGATCGCAAGACACTAACTCACAATAGTGAGTTAATTCATCTTTGAGCACTAGCAAGTAGCGCGTAGTTCCGTATGAATCGTCCATATACAAGAAGTCAAAATGCAGCACGTCGTTGCGTGCTGCAGGTTCGCGATGCTCGCTCCACGGACGTTGAATAAGTTGGGTGCCTTTGACATGCTTGCAGAGCAAACACGCTATGCAAAAGTCTTTTACCAATTTTCCCATGGCCCTAAGATAGTGCTTCTGCTGCAGCTGTCGTAACATGACGTCTGCGCCCCGGTGTGCGTTCACGCCACAGTGAGCAATAATGAGCATGCGCGTGATGAGTTCTGTAGCTTGCGTGGGTATCCACACCTTGCCCTCCACGAAAAGAAGCCCAGCTTCGCCAAGTCTAGCTGTCGTAGGGGCGGACCGGCGGTACAGCTGCTGAGTTGCCATCAATTCATCAACAGAAGGCCATACGAAATCCGCATCACGTAGTGGGCGGAGGTGTGACACCCCGCGAGTAGTTCTTGTCCTCACGACTTTCACTGCAACGGAGCCATTGTCATCGTGAGGCAACCATCGAGAAACCAAATTGGCCCAAACGTTATCGGATCCCTTCACATGCTCGATCTCATATCGATAGTCCGAGAATTAATGACTATCGCTGTAATTTCCCATGAACGTGCTTCCTGATTTCCGTGTGCGGACAGAAAATCTGGATCAGATTTGCATGATCGCAGAGCAGCTTAAACTCCGTCGGGCGGTGCAGTAGATACTTTAAGTCCTCGTCTGCTTTGATGATTGGTACGCCTCCTTCTCTGCAATCGACTAGTGACGTTTGGCGCCCTTCAACATGTCTCCTTTGCACAAGAGTAGTTGATGGGCTTGGTATGTTAAACGCTTTGTATCACCCCACTCGCTCACTTGCATGACAATAAGAGACCAACCACGGTCACTGGTGTCCGTCATCAAGCACACAGTCGCCGTATCGGACGGGAATGAGAGCTTCGTCGTATTTGCCACACAATCCAGAAACCCACGGTACTGTTGTTGTTCGTCAGGCGTCCATGATAAAGTGAGACCTTCTGCATAGCGTTGCTTTCGACTGTGACCATCAAATGCTACCTCCAGTTTCAGTTGCAGTGGAGCTGCATGCTGTGCAAAATTAATGATCGACTCTCGAAGCCAATTAGCAGCACACAAAAGTTTCTGCAAGTCACCAGCCGTAGCAGGTGTAGGTAGGGAACACAGCGCAGAGACTCGCTCGGGATCGTGGCGAACACCTTCCCCGTCAATAAGGCGACCGCACCAAGAGATCTCACGCACGAACAAGCAGCTCTTTTTTGCGTTCAGCTTGAGTTCATATTCCCGTGAACGCGCGAAAGATTTACGCAGCACGACGATGAATTCCTCAGCAGTCTTTGCAAAAACCACGATATCGTCGATCCAAATCAAAACATTCTCGTACAGCATGTCCCGAAACACTTCTTGCACCTGATTCTGGAAATGAGTGGGAGAATCCGTAGCTCCTTGAGGGACTCGCGTAGGAGTGTACACAGTGTCGCTCGTAATGAAACTAAAACGTTCTTGACAGTCGGGGTGCAGCGAAAGCTGCCAAAACCCCTTAAACAAGCCAAACGTTGCGAAAAACAAAGCACCACGGACCTTCGCGATTACAACCAGTAGGTTTGGCATCGCACCAGCAATCGGAATAGTGCGCTTGTTGGTTGGACGGTAGTCATTCGTGCAGCGATATTCTTCAACATGCCCCTTCTTGCAGAAACGGGAACGGCTGCACAAGCCCAGCGACTTTGATTATTGCGAAATACCAGGTTGAGCTTGTCAAGCTGTTTGCAGTAGTCGGCGAGGAACTTCGTTTTTACTGGAGAGTATTGCCGAAGTTTCGCTAGGTGTGGCACAGCATCATCAACTAACAGCACTCGTAAAGGCTCGAGCTTCGCCGGCGGATCGGCTCCTAGGTTAGTTCGCCACAGATCCACCTCATGCTGCGTAATTTCGCGTAATCCCTTCATCAAATGTTGCGAAAATCCCAAAGTTTCGGCGGCTTCTAGCATTGCCTCCAAACAACTCTGTGATCTTCTCCGGATTCGTCACCCCAACGATATCCTCATCAGGTATATTGGCTTCGTCGTCACCCGGTGCAACCTTTGCTGCAAGCTGCTCCAATAGTTGATCTACATCAATACCCAATGAATTTAGGTGGTATTACCCACAGAAAATTCGTCTGCGTCTCCATCAATAATCACACACTGCACCTGTCGTAAATGAACAGAACCAGCGGCTATAAGGAGCCGCACATCCACTTTACACTGTTCGTGGCACTCAACTAGCCTACCGTCGGCCCCCTCCACTTCAACTGAAGTATACAGCTTCTACGCAGGTATCTAGTTTCTCCAGCTCACGGAGGATCCGGCGGGTAAGTATTTTGCAGTCCGCACCGGTGTGGTACTTCGAGCATGCCATTGAGGATAGCAGCTCTCTCTCTCGGCGAATTCAACGACCGAACAGCCTTTGCTCGCAACCGTTGGTTCTTCATATCGTTCACTCGCTTCAAAGCCGCTTCCTTGTCGGCATCACTAGATATTGGGCAATCCTTTACCCAATGAGCTCCATTGCATACGTGTCAGCCGTCGCGTGGCGGTGCACGAGGTCTTTCTGCCTCCTTCGTTGGGGGCTTGGTCGAAAATTGGTCGTATGAAGTCGTCTGCTAATTGTCGCGCGGTTTCTTACTAGAGACTGCCCTCTTACCGATTACTGCTGGTCTTAGCATGACCACGCGTCTTGTCCACCATCCTGAGCTCCTGCGCGAGCATGTGGTAGTGTTGCTGCTCTCTGGCACGCTCCACTAAAGCTTCGTACAGCGCAATGTTATCTTTCTTGAGCACCGGTTTCGCAATGACTCCATTTCTAGTCTCAGCATCTCAGGCGCAAGGTGCTTCAGCAACATCTCGCAGCGCAGCTTCATGCGCTCTGTGTACGTGGATTCATCATCTCGTCCACTGCCCAAAATACCAGTTAATCCGTGGTCCTCCACAATCTTGTCGAACAGCACAAAGTAGTTTAGGATACGCGCTTCAGTATCTGCAATCTTCAAGTCCATCTTGAGGTGGTCGTGGAAGAGTTGATCCATGCCCGGAATGTGACTATTTTGGAGTGATGAGCAACGTCGCGTAATCGCCAGCCCAATATCTTCATCTGTCACCGAGTCCGGCTGTTTCTTCAACACGAAACGAGCGAGATGATCGAGAATGCGTGGCTCGATCGAGTTGCGAATGGAGGTCACAACGTGGTCGTACTGCTCGCCCGTGACGGCACATCAGTTGCGAATCTTGGCTTCATACTGACGGCGCTGTCGCACCCACGATGCAAGTGACGCCTGGCCCCAGGCGTTGAGACTCGGCGGCTGAACCACGTCAAAAACAGGATGAGGTACTATCATTTGAGCATCACCATCTGCATCGACCGCCATTGTGTTCTTTAGCTTAGATTGATTTGCGATTTGGCTCCACGCCGTGCAGGTCGACTTGTCTTGCAGCGGTCGTCCCGCTCTCTTCTTTCTTGCCGCAGCTTCTGGTACGTCCACAAAGTATACTTTGTGATCACTAGCTAGCAAAAGAAAGCAAAATGAATTGTTTTGTCTTAGCAGAGCTTCAACTGGGCTATTAATAGTTTGTCCTCGTGGCAGTTCGCCACGAATTCCTACAGCTTCTAGAACCTGCCTTCTAGAAACTCATGCACGAGTGTAAGCTTTGCTTTGTGCGACAGAGACGGGATTCAGCAGTCCACACATACAGAGGTAGTACAAAAAGCGTCATCGAGTGTTCGTTTCACTCGACGACCTGTAACATTAATCGCTGATATCAGTAAGGCCGTGTTCGGTTTGCAGGGGCAAATCCAGCTTGTTCGAAAATAAGCTAGAGCTGTAGAACAGTCGTTTTGTTAAGTAAAATAAAGATAAAATAAGTGATCGTGTTCCATCTGGATTTGAAGGCGCAAAGCAGGACGATTCAAAATTCAACCCAGAGCTAAATTTTGAAACCAGTCGTTTGGCTGGATGTCATTTTTTGTGTTTCTTAGCGGAATAAAGCTGGTTGAGACATTCCAGTTTTTTAATACGGTACCAATTACAGCTGGTTTTAGCTTAAATCGAACACGGCCTAAATGGTGTACTGTAGTGTATTGGAATCTATGTAGGATTACATGTAGTATGAAGACAAGGACCTCAACACTTTACATTCTTTAAGTGATTTGCCCCGCGCCAACACAAATCAAAACCACATACAACACACTCTTTAGCATTATCGCAATCGTTTTTTATTACCACAATTAGAGGAAGAAAACAGCACTGAAAGAGAATCCCTCCCAGACGCGTAGCATCTGAACGCGTTGGCCATCCCACCGCCCTGTAGCAACACAGAGCGCGTTAAGCAGTTACCAGAGCTTTGTTCGTCGTGATCAGCACCTAACATAGACAAACGCACACGCATGTTAGCTCTCATGCTTTAACGCTCACCAAAGCACCAGAGCCCTCTGCGGAGGCTGAGAATCTTGAAAAAATAACATCTACGCAATGAAATCTGAGAGTAATTACGTTTGTAAAAACGCGTGAAAGCTACGCGTTTTACTTGGTAAAATTCCACATAGCTCACCGCACCACGTTTGAACAGAGTTAGTTTTAGTTAATAGAAATTGGTGCGGTACAGGCATGTATTACGCTATGTATCGAAACTTAAAATCGAGCAAATCATCGCGTAAAACAAAGCATATTTCCAAAATGGCAGTCAAAATAAAGACACTACCATACCTCTCTGATACAGTATACCGAATTGCGACAGTCAATCCTTTCAAAATTAATAGATCGAAGAGACGCGTCATGCTTCAGTCGCCAACACGCCGCACAACGATGAGATCACCCGTCACGCTGCTACTTCTAACCCTGAGCTTCATCTTCTTCAATGGGGAAGAAGAAGCGACAACTGCAACCACCGAGGTCTCCCCCGAATCCCCATGGGGCCGCATCTACCTGCGCAATGGATTGGCCCCCATCCAGTACCTCCGCGACGATTTTGGTGGTCCGATGACATCTCGCGAGGTCTCGCTCTACTTCCCCAAGCGCAGGAAGAACCGGTTCGGCTGCGAACTACTTCCTGAATCCGAATCAATGGAAGTTGAGGCGGCCAACCGCTCGGTCGTGCTGGTCGTGGATCGCGGGGAGTGTACGTTCGAGCACAAGGCTCTTCTAGCCGACCAAATGGGCGCCGCTGCTCTCTTAGTGGTGAGCCCCACAGACGACGTCAGTGCTCCTGTAGCAGCATTAAAGAATGACGAAGAAATTTCCATTGCATCCGTCATGATCCGGCGTACTGGTGGCGACATGCTGCGCATTGCAGCCGAGCAGATGACCATCTACGGTCGCTTTATCCCCATGACCTGTGAGCGCAAGCCGTACACGTGCAAGCCTCGATATGCAGACGAAGAAGATTACATAGAATCCGCAATAGCACGCAGCGGCGTGGTCTTGTCTGTTGACAAAAAAGGAGACGATGGAACCCAAGTAGGAACCTTCTTGGCAGCGACCTATGGCAGTGTACTACCCACAAAAATGCCGTTCCTTCTGGCAGCCCCACTCGATGGAATTCAAGCATGCACAGACGCCACAAAGGACAGTGCAACCCACTCAGAATTTGAAGGAAAAGTTGTGCTGATTCCAGCAGGACTAGCAGGAAAATGCTCCGAGTTTGAGAAGGTGTCGAATGCCCAGCGTCGCGGTGCAAACGTCGTGGTGCTCATGCAGCAGGACAACGCAACCATTACGACTCAGCCAGGCGTCCCAGTGAGCTGGCATGCATACAACATCACGATCCCAGTACTCGCCGTCTCCAGCACCACTGGCGCCAATCTAGCGGGTCTCAAAGACGCACACGGAGACGCTGCACGCCTGCGCTTTGCAGTAAGCAACGGCATTGCTGACGCGTGGGAACTGCTCAAACAGTACTCGACGCGTTCATCCTGGCCAAAGCGTGTGAAACGATGCAGCAAGACTCTAGCTCAGCTCCTCTATCAGCTTCGTGGGTTTGGAGGAGATATCGAAGTGGAGGAAGCACTCAAGAGTATGTTCCTCAACGTCGTCAGCGGGAGCCTGCAAGACTGGGAGAAAATCGCTCATCCCGACCAAGACGCAGACCAAGACCATGAAACCCAGAAGAGAAGTTCTTCCGAGAAGATCGTCCAGACAGTGGAGAAGTCAGAGACCCGTGACGAATTCTAGTCACTCCATTCACACAATCCTAGTCAACTTTTGGTAGCTCACAACTCAGCTAGCTAACAATTGTACCAATGAACTGGATGATGCCATCCCTACAGTCCGATCCAGTAAGACCGTCCATTAGGATTGTGAATCGGAACGTGACATTTGCCATCGCCCGAAGACGCAGACCACTCGTACCAGACACGGTTGTTGGACTCGAGTCTCCAGAAGTTGACGACAACTTCCTCTCCCTTGTGGAAGCGCAGTGGTTGGCGCAATGGGAAGTAGATGGGGAACCAACTGAACATGCCATCCGAGTGCGTGTCTGGTTCGATACTCAGCGTCACGTCACCGAACAACACAGCATCGAAGTAACCCGCCAGTCCATGGACGACAGCGCTCTCTGCAGCGATAAACCGAAGCTCTGCTTGTCTGCGGTTGTCGATCCTCGCGTTAAACTTCGGGTGCGTGAACCGGAAGCATTTCTGCGTGGGTGCCAAGGCGTAAAAGTTGTGAAGTCGCACCACATAGGGCGTCTCGAAGCTCTTGAGCGAGTCGTGCACTTTGACTTCGTTCCAGAGCTTGGAGGACATTACAGGTGTCACGAACGACGTGTACTCGCATGGGATACTGATGCCATTTTCTACAACATATTACCCCATACAAGTCAGGGACTTCAAACAACCACATCGTAAGGTGCCTGGGATACTTACCATGCAAGAAGTCTTGCGCGCCATCGAGACACTCTGGAGACAGCTCGTTGTCTCCAAAAGACCCCAGAAGCTCGCTCACCATGATGTCAGCACGCTCCTCGGTGTGCCAGCTACGCATGTCTGACGCGATGATCGTGACGTTGTCCCATTTCTCCGAGATCTTGAGGTTGCGCAGAGTGATGACGGCGTTCGGGTTCTTCTCGACTGCAAACATCCGCGTCTTGCGGTTGGCGACAGTAGCGGCGCGAAGAGCACAGCGCACGAGCGGACCACGACCTGCGCCCACAACCATCACAATGGACTCTTTATCTTCTGGAGTCTGCTCCAACGCCTGGGTGATCGCCTTTTCGTACTGGTTATACTTGAAAGCGTCCTGCTCGAACGTCTCGTACGTCTGCGATTCCAGATTGTCCATCAGAGGCTGCAAGGGAGCTTGGAGATAGTCTAGATACGGCGACTCAAACTGCGCCTTACGGTCCTGACTCGGCCGCTTACTGTACAGGTAGTGTAGATACTGTACATACGGCAAGAGCTTCCCACGGTGACGAGGTCGCCCACTGAGGTAAAACTGGATGTTGTGCTGGAAAAGCTGAGCCATCAGCGTCTGGTGTCGTTGAGACAGAGCCGGGTAGCCCTTCCGGTTCGTCAGGAAGATGTCGGTTGGGATAATTGCTGCCTACGCTCACAACAAATTGTCAAGAGACCAGTTTATATCCTTTCCTCATCTCTAGCCAAACTTACCTTCACAGGTTCGCCTAGCCAGCGCTGGATCTCCTCGGCGCTAGGCAGATCGGCTGTGATTTCCAGCGCCACGTGCAGCTTGGGGTGATACTCGCAACGAGCACGCAGCGCATCCCACGTTTCCCACGTGTCCGTGAGCTCCTCGTTCTCTTCGTCCGTTTCCATCATGGCAGCACCACGGAGTCCTCCCACGGGATCAATCTCCATCGGTGCCTTGACGTTCGACTGGTATCTTGTTGTCAACGGGATGCGCACCCAGAATTGAAGATATTGTGCTTGCGTTAGCGACTGGTTCAGTACACGCGCGTAGTTGGCCGAAGCGTGAGCATGGCGCGGTGTCGGCAGCATCACGGCCGGCACGGATAGATGCGAAGCCCAAGCAACCTCCTGCTTGAAAACTTTCTCTGCGCTAAGACGTCCATCCAGTGTGGCAGCATCCAGGTCCATCCACTTCGAGATATTGCCTACCACGGATGCAGTCCATCCACGCGAGTCCATGACCAGATCCGAGCGAGCTTGTGGGCCGTCGCGAGAGTCCGAGAGCTCGCGGTCATCGCGCTTGAAGCTGGCAGTAAGGAAAGCAATAAAAATGATGAATACCAACCCTTTCAAAGTTATAGCGATGCAATATTTCATACCGAGGATGGAAGAGCGGCACCACCATGCCATTCATCTTGTCCTCGAAGACCTGGGTGGAGCAACAATGCAATGCAACGATGAGGACGATGAAGGAAACAGTATGGAGATGAAGTTGATGGGCCGTACCTTGTCGAGCGTCGCCGGGAGGTCATGGACGAAGGACGTCTCAAGCCCCACGAAGATGCGGCTCATCTTGATTGGCAAAATTTGGCTTTTGGCTGGCGATGACTTCGTTGTGTGCTTAACACAAATGCCACTCAACTGAATCCCTCGGTATCCACTTCTAGTGACACTGATTATTCATTTCTTTTTGACGTGATGGAGCGGTTCCTGTGGCTCGCGTTGGTGTTGCTCTCGGCGTTGGGCGTCTGCGCTGGGGAATCTCCCGTGTTCGTACCCACTGGCAATAACGATGCTGCTTTGCTGAGGTCTGGTCAGCAATTCGAGGAATTCGTGGAGAACGCGACGTTATCCGCGGCCACCTCGGGCTGCGGCCTGTGCCAGCAAACAGGCCAGTGCGACCATGCGTTTCGCGGCCAACCGGGTCAATTCTGCGTCGGTATGGCGTCTGGTGCTCCGTGCTGCTGTCCAAGAGATGCCCAGTGCGCCGCAAGCCCGTACGAATGTCGCTGTCGCCGTGCGGTACCCACTTACCATTACGGGGGCGATGACTACCATCCAAGTTCGCACTCGAGTGGCGTATCTGGCACCTTCATTTTCTTCGTATTGTTGCTGCTCTGCTGCGTGTGCTGCTGCTACCTGCCAGCGCGTCGTGCGCAGCAGGAGAGAGAAGAACAATATGTGTACGCACAATCCGTTGAAGCTACAAGCCAATACGGCACGTACGCTGGCCAACAACAGCAGGCTCCTTACGCCTATGCCTCGGCTCCTGTGGCGTATGAATCGTCTCCCTATCATGAGAATCGTGGAGGTGGCAATACAATGGCTGCTGGAGCACTCGGAGCGCTGGGAGGATTGGGCGTTGGCGCTGCGTTGGGTTCCATCTACGGTGGCCACAACAATAACAACAGTAATTACAGCGGCGATATGGGGGCTGTTTCCGACAACACGTACACTTTCAGTGGAGACACAGGGGGCGGCGACTTTGGCGGGGATAGCGGCGACGACGGCACCTTTGCGGGCGACTCGTGATGAAGATTCACAGCGAGAATGGGATTCAATGAAGGCAAGTGGCGCTACACGTCGTACTCAATACTACTACATAGTACTATACATGTAGTAGCTACAAGCCTAACAACCAACAACGTAGTAAAAGTGTACTTGTTGCTCATTGTTATGAGTGCTTCGTACCGCTTAGACCACAGTTTGGTCTTTACTAAAGTACACACAAAAACAGCGCGACGATACGAAAGCCACCAGCAACACCGATGGTTTCGATGACTCTTCTACATGCAGCACTCTCGAGTTATTAAACACAAGCAACTCGTTGATATATTTTCTGTTTTTTTCACTTTTCTTGGAAAGATCGCGAAGATAACGGACCCTTCCTCGCAAACCGGCAGGTGGTTGCCGAACCCAGATCGGTTCCACGCTTGCCGTCATTCGCCAGCTTTCAACGTACATACTACTAGACGGGGAGACACGAGCCAATGGCCGCTCTTACTTTGTTACGAAAACCTTCTTAAGCGACTCGACACGCACGGGGCCCGCCCGTGAACGCACCGGGTATCGGTCCAAATACGTGATCTCGCACTTGTTGTTGGTTTTGATGTCCTTGCACAGCGCCTCCCATACCTTGTTCTTCTTCATCTGGATGGGCGTCACGGGATCCTGCAACTCCTCACCGCTAGCGTAAACACGCTCGCCTATCTCAGCCTCCGGGCTTGGGTCCAGCAGTTCGACCTTGCCCTTGTCGTTAGCCACCAGCAGGATGGCGCCCGTGGAGCGTGTCCGCACCACCTTGACCATCTTGAGATTGCAGAGTACCACAACCTTTCGGTCTACAAGCTCCTCCTCGGCGAAGTACGGCTGGTGTTCCATGACCATCTCGAGCTCCTCACCCTTGCCGATGTCCACCGTCTCAATGTAGTGGCGTTCCGAGTTCGGGTGCGCTTTCACCTCGGTGATCTTGCCAACCCGCAGGTCCAGCTGGGAGAAGACGATAGGGGAGCTATACACGTCCGACTTGACCATGGTAGAGGAGACGTAGAGTTTGTTGTTGGACCGAAGGCTGAAGAACCACTTGAGCACTGGGAGACAACTTGGGAAATGATTTAGACGTACGTACCCGGCTCCCCAAAGCCTGGACCCGAGAAGCCCCTTTGGGCAGCCAACTTCAAGCACGCGGTTGTGCGGGTTTCCGCCAATCGGATCGCACAGTCCATGGAAAGGGCGTTGTCGTTGGCAGAACGACGGACTTGTTGATCAGGAGATGGGCGTGTTTATGTTGAAGTCATGACATGGTCCCTGCCAAATCTTATGCACCTTGAAGTTCCAGCTCTGCCTGTAGCATGGATTGCTGCAGACACGGCACAATACATCCCGAAGAGATTGAGGCCTACCTGTAGTGGCTTGGAAATGAACGGGAGACTCTGCGTGTGGTGATGTTGGTTCGACCCCAAGCAGCACTGGGATGGGGCATTAAGACGCCGGAATCGCTGTGTACGCCCTGACGCCACGCCCGAAGTCCTAACACTCTCCTTCACGGTTTCCTATGCCACCAATACGCCAATTGAGTGTCGGACTAAGCGCTGTACATGTAACAGATTGCTGTACGCACATGTTGTCGGCAACGGCACCGGTAGTGGTCGACTTGCGAATAGCACAAGTTCAAGACAAACTTCAGAAGCCAACTCGCGCCTATAAAAGGCGCTTAGAAATGCTAAACGTGGATGACGAAACACATAAATCACGAAAGAGTGTGAGGTAGGAGCAGTTGTTGGAAGATATTATTTTAGCTGTAGCAGCTACTGCTGAAACAGAGTTCCGGGCCCAAAGAGCTACAGATGGTACCCTACCGCTTCTTTTAAGTCCGATATCGTACCTAATGTGAGAATTAGTGCTAAGCCGATTGGATCGGTTTTTGGGTCTAGCCCATTCAATCAACCCATCTTGGAAAAGCCCACAAAACTAGTATTAATAAAATCAAGGCTGATATAAAGAAGTTGAATTATTGTCGATTATTTAGTAAAATTGACATTTTGAGTTGTAATCAGATACGGGCAGAGAGCGTCCACATGATAAACGAGAGCACGTCGAGGTATGAGCATGTACAACCGCCGATGGTGCTCGCAGCTTGTGTTCTCACAGAGAAATACCGAGCCTGCGAGGTGATCCGCTCGGAATAACATTATTTTGACGAATGAATGTAGAGGTATCATCAGTGATGATACCTCTGATGATTCATCACTGCGTGTTTTTGACCAGCCCTTTCTCTGCAATAACGACTGCGAAAAATCTAATGTCTAAAAGTCAAGGGATCAGTACAGTTTCATTTTCCTAGCACAGCAATTGTCGAGAAACCAAGAGCTGGAACTTCAAGGTGTATAAGATTTGGCAGGGACCATGTCATGACTTCAGCCCATCTCCTGATCAACAAGTCCGTCGCCTCGTTCTATAAGAGCTACTCTGGCTAACCTCGGCGTTGCTAAGCTGCTTGCTGTGCGCTTGATAGCCCGGGCGACAGTAGTTGACGGTAATTGTAGGTGCCCGCATTATCTAGCATGCGAAGGCACACATACAGGGCCAGCAGGCGCAGCAGATTCTGCCAACGACAACGCCCTTTCCATGGACTGTGCGATCCGATTGGCGGAAACCCGCACAACCGCGTGCTTGAAGTTGGCTGCCCAAAGGGGCTTCTCGGGTCCAGGCTTTGGGGAGCCGGGTACGTATGTCTAAATCATTTCCCAAGCTGTCTCCCAGTGCTCAAGTGGTTCTTCAGCCTTCGGTCCAAAAACAAACTCTACGTCTCCTCTACCATGGTCAAGTCGGACGTGTATAGCTCCCCTATCGTCTTCTCCCAGCTGGACCTGCGGGTTGGCAAGATCACCGAGGTGAAAGCGCACCCGAACTCGGAACGCCACTACATTGAGACGGTGGACATCGGCAAGGGTGAGGAGCTCGAGATGGTCATGGAACACCAGCCGTACTTCGCCGAGGAGGAGCTTGTAGACCGAAAGGTTGTGGTACTCTGCAATCTCAAGATGGTCAAGGTGGTGCGGACACGCTCCACGGGCGCCATCCTGCTGGTGGCTAACGACAAGGGCAAGGTCGAACTGCTGGACCCAAGCCCGGAGGCTGAGATAGGCGAGCGTGTTTACGCTAGCGGTGAGGAGTTGCAGGATCCCGTGACGCCCATCCAGATGAAGAAGAACAAGGTATGGGAGGCGCTGTGCAAGGACATCAAAACCAACAACAAGTGCGAGATCACGTATTTGGACCGATACCCGGTGCGTTCACGGGCGGGCCCCGTGCGTGTCGAGTCGCTTAAGAAGGTTTTCGTAACAAAGTAAGAGCGGCCATTGGCTCGTGTCTCCCCGTCTAGTAGTATGTACGTTGAAAGCTGGCGAACGACGGCAAGCGTGGAAGCGATCTGAGTTCGGCAACCACCTGCCGGTTTCCTGCGAGGAAGGGTCCGTTATTCTCGCGATTTTTCCAAGAAAAGTGAAAAACAGAAAATATATCAACGAGTTGCTTGTGTTCAACAACTCGTGAGTGCTGCATGTAGAAGAGTCATCAAAACTATCGGTGTTAATTGTAGCTGTGTGTTGAACAAATGATCTTTTTTTAGTTAAAGTAATAACTGTAGCCGATGGTCGCGTTGGCTATGAAGCGTTTCTTAGCGCAGTTTTGCTTCGACAGTGTGCTTTGCTCTCGCCACCCATCATTACCCATAGCGGGCATTGAAATGCGGAAGCAATGTTCAACGTTTCACCCCTTCTTAGTAGTACAGGTAGTCTAATTCTTTGCATTGTATTAAAAATAGCAACTTTAGTTTCTGGAATAACACAAGGCTTGGAATAATGAGAACCTAAATAAAATTCGAATAAATGACGGATAGATTACCGATCGATAATCCAGTACTTTATTCTTTATATTTAGCTCAAGCTTAGACCTATAAATACATGCAGATTACAACTTATTTTAAACTGTTCACTCCTTTCTTTTCAACAAAAGGGACCTGTGAGCTACTGTTGACTGAGAGTTTGTAGACTCTCAGAAGCCGACTTCCTCTAGCGCAAGGTGCTATGTGACCCCATCACACATGGTAGCACTTGTAGTCAACCCACGCCAACGCGGGTAGACTACCTGAACCTCTCTGAAGTTCGTCGCCATGGGCAGGAGCGACTTCTCCCATCTAATCGACTCACAGCTTAAGTCGGTTTGGAAGATGGCTGGCATCTTCGAGATGGAGGCCCTGCAGAGCCTGGTGGCGTCAACACCGGCCGAGCAGCTCGAGCGTGTCAATGCTTTTGACGCCTATAAGCGACGAGGGATCATCGCATATGTGCGGGGAAACCTGCAGGCTCCGGCGGCGAACAAGTCCGCCACACCCGAAGCCAATACGGCTGAAGGTGTAGCCGTATGAAGGGAAGGAAGGTGAGAATATTCACTTTTGGGATCGAGAGGTAGAGCTCGCGATGGACGCGGCTCTGATCTCGACCGAGCAGCTCCGCGTTGCTTTTGCGCTCTTCAGCCTTTGTGGTCGTGCTAAGAGTTGGGCGTACATGCGGGAGGCGACACCGCCTAGATGTTTTTACATCCGGGGCTCAGCTGTACAAACAGCTTCGAGCCGCGCTCCTCCCGGCGAACTACAAGTACCGACAGCGCTCGCGCTTCCTCTCATGCAAATAAGGAAGGCGTGAGCTGCACGAGTACGTTTAAGAGATGCAGGAGCTCACGGCGTCCCTAGTGGCCAACCCACTCAACGAACACACCAAGGTGACAGTGTTCATGGCCTTCCTGTGGGCCCGGCGCTCACTAGGCAGTTCCAGGTGCAGTCAAGCACCCTCGAAGAGGCGATTTAAGTGGCGCTTCAAAAAGAGTACAGCCATCGCCAGGCGCGTATGCCGGTCTCATCGTGGCCAGGGAATTCTGTGGGCCACCCCCACCGGACCAGTTCCCATGGAACTCGGGTCCGCCGAAAAGCGCGACATACGCTGTTCGGCTGCGGGAAGCTGGGCAACTTCAGGCGTAACTGTCCCGCGGAGAGACACCTAGGCTGACTTTCCCCAAGCCCATTCTCAAGGGTCACTGGCAGAAGCCAGGATCCCGGGACCTGGGGAGCGCTGGAGTCCAGTAGGGGCGAAGCTCCCTACTGGGAAATAACTAAGTCTTCGTGAGAGGTACGCACCGGGGACGGTCCAATGAAGCGGTGCTTCAGCTTGCTGCTGCCGACAGAGCTGACAGTGTGTAGCGGTAGGTTCAATGTGTCGAATAACACGAATTCATCCACCTTAAACACAGTTAAGTTTCCTCTTCCATGTTTGTCAGGGTTTTACTTCTGTCTGTCCTGGGCCGCTGCCATGGCATCGCGGACCCTGTCGACCTCACTCAGCTCGGTATCCTCAAAGGACTCCACTCGTTTCCGCAGCGAAACCGGTCTCACATCTGATACCTTGGAGGAAAGAGATTTTCCTAGCCTCCCCCCACTTAGAATAGAGGATGCAGCGTTTTCTCGAAGAACACTCTGGGGTGACGGAATTAATTTAAGTAAAACGGCGTGAGCCCCGTGGACGCGTGTACCGCGTTGTTGAGCGCAAACTCAACAGCTGGAAGCTGCGTCGACCACGTGTGTGGGACTCCCGCGCACACACTGTGCAAAGTGTCCTAGAGCACTCGATTGACACGCTCCGCCCGTCCGTCTGTCTGCGGATGGTCCGCAGTGGGCATCTGCAGACGCGTTTCGAGTAAAGGAAACAGCGCTTTCCAAAACGCGGCCGTTAATAGCGGGTCTAGGTCCGAGGTAATCGTCTCCGGGAGACCGTGATAGCCGAGCACGCCATCAATCGCGGTCTGTTCGCCTGTGACGGTAACCGGCACTGGAGCAAGATGGTACATCTTGTTCAGCCGACACACGAACACCACAATTGCCGTGTCCGTCGGCGGGAATCCCAAAGATAAAGTCAAGACTCATCGACTTCAAACAGGCAGCCGGTACGGGCAGGCTTTGTACCGGAGCCGAAATGTGCCCTGCGGGTCTAACCCGCTGCCATGTTTCGCATGTCGCCACGTACCGTGCGACCCACTTGTACATGTGGGTCCACCAGAAGGCCTGAGAGACCGACAGAAAGGTCTTCTCGCGGCCCAAGTGGCCGCTGGAGGGCGCGTTGTGCGCCTCCGCGAGGATATCGAACTTCAGATCCTCGTCGTTGGGTACGATGACCCGTGGAGGTAATAGAGGAGGCCATCCTTCAACTCATATCGGTGGAGCCGTGAGCGCTGTCGCGACGAGAGCCAGTCGGACTTCGCGCTCGTTCCTGCCATAAGGAACTTGACGATATGCGCGACAGACTCATCGTCCCGATACGCCATGCGTATCCGATCATATAGATTCGTTGCCACCCGTGTGAGATGGGCCAACTCGTAGTCTGGACGCTGAGAGAGGGCGTCCGCAAGCACGTTGAGCTTGCCCGGCTTGTACTCAACGCGGAAGCTGTGCTTCGCGAAGAAGGTCAGCCACCTCGCCATCCGTTGGGAGAGGTGAGGCGAATTCGTCGCCGTCCTCAAGGATGCGTGGTCTGTGTAGATCACAAAGGGCTGTGAGCCCAGAAGATGAACCCGAAACTTCACAAAGGCGTACTTCATTGCCAGGAGCGCCTTGTCTTGGACAGGGTAGCTCCGTTCGGCGGCTTTGAGCTGCCTGGACTGGAACGAGATGACTAGCTCGTGTCCAGCCGTGTCGGTCTGTAGCAATGCACAACCGATCACAAAGTTAGAGTTATCGCAGACGACGCTGAATGGCTTCGTCTCGTCCGGCAGAGCCAGGACAGGAGCCTCTTGGAGACTGACCTTGATGCTGTCAAAGGCATTCTGGTGCTCTTGCTCCCAGCGCCAGTCGGCGTCCTTCTGAAGGAGCCCGGCAAGGGCTTAGCGAGGCCCGCGTACCCTGCGCTGTACTTTTGAAGGTTGTTAGCCAGCCCCAAACACTTTTGAAGATCCTTCTGGGATCGGGGCGTTGGCCATGCTGCTATGGCCTTGACCTTGTCTGGGTCAGCCCGAACGTCCACGTTGCTGACGAAGCAACTGGGAACCTTGATCTCTGGGGACGCGAAGACGCACCTGTCGATGTTGGCGTAGAGCTTGTTCGCTCGCATCACGTCAAGCACTCGGTGGAGGTGCCCCAAATCCACCTCCGTGGCCATCTTGCCTCCCTCGGCACAGCTATGAACGACAATGTCGTCGAAGTACGTTTGTACGAAGGCGCGCAATAGACTGAGCAGTTGCATCACCAGACGGTTGAGTGTCGCCGGGGCCTTAGACAAGCATGACAGTCCACTCCCAAAGCATGCAGCTTGAAGTGCTCACCGCGGTGATCGGGATGTCACTCTCGCGCATCAGGATCTGGTAGTATCCGTCTACCAAATCCAGCGCATTGTACAGTACGCTTCCGGCCATGTTGTTCAACAACACGTCCTTTCGTGGGAATTGGTGTCAGAGCCGGCACCGTCACGTTGTTCAGCTTGTTCTAAGCGTGAGCTAGACGCCACTTCCCGTTCGGCTTCTGAACGCGGAAAGTTGGCGTCAAGTGCGGGGACTTTGTCTCCCGCACCATGCCTGCCTTCGCTTTTGCAGCGAAGAAGGCATTGATGACCTCGCACTGTTCGCGCGGAAGAGGCCATTGTCTCGTGACACAGTACTTTGTGCCAGGCACGAGATCGATCTCATGCCGTACGCTTCGATCCGGTGGGAGTTGAGTCGGTGGGTGCTTGCTTACCACGCCCGCGTGCTCCGTCACCAAAGGATACACTGGATACTTGGGGTTCTCAAGGATCTCAGAACCCAAGCGCGGCTGACGCGGCTTGCTCATCTCATCTAGGACGTTCCCATCCAAGACAGATGAGACGTTCAGCTCCTCCCGAGTGGTCCCTGGTCTTATGAGCACCATCTCGGCAATCTACCCAACCTTGAGGTTGACAAGAAAAGACTCGGCCGTCATTTCCTTGTGGTTCAGTATTTCTGCAACCTCTCGCAGCGGTTCCAAGTGGACACCAGATGCCTTGACGAGTAAACCGGTCTCGCCATCGAAGATGTGAACGATGTTTAAATCCGACTTTCGGCGGCGGCGGCGGCGTCGTTGACAGCGACCGTGACGTGGAACTTCGTAACCCACGTCTAGGGATGTCGTGGTGCTGACATCCGAGGCACTCGAGGCCTCGTGTGGTACTATGTTACCCATCCAGGAAGCGCATCCCGCGTCCTCCTCTTCAGTTATGATCTGGGCCACCTCGTGTGATACTGTGTTACCCACACAGAAAGCGTATCCGACGTTTTCCTCTTCAGTTAAGGCCTGGGCGACCGTGTGTGGAACTCTGTTACCCACCTTGGACACGCTTTTACCAGCCTTCGTGACAGCTGCGGCTGTCTGCGGAACTATGTTACCCGTTTGTGGACCTAAATCACCCACTTGGCCAGTGCCTCCTAGCGCCGCCACCATCGAAGCTTTCTCAGAGT